TGCACCAGACAGTCTTACACACATGATGATCTTCATCAAGACTGTAGACAGTAACTGTCACCTAATTTCACCTGGCGCCAGAGACATCATTTTGGTTTGCACTATTTTGTATCCATGGACAAATATATTCTTGTTATTGTTCCTGAGAGGTTTCTCTGTGGATCTTATCTTCCCAACCTAATCTAAAGCTCCTGAAAGGTGGGAGGCAAACCTTCTGTAGTTTTCTCCCCTCCCCCACCTCTTGTGGCACCCAGTACAGTGACATGGATTAGAGGATGGTCTCAATAGTGATTGTTCAGCTCGTCAACAACTGGGGAGGCCAGTATAATTTCTGAATTCTTCTGTAAGTGTGTCCAGTGATGACAGAAATCTGCAGCTGGATGTATCCCTTGTAGCAAAGAATGAGCTATTCTTGACACGGCAAGCCAGCATTTCAGTTGACTTAACCAGCCCCTCCCCATGTCATCTTCATGAAATAACAAGTAAGCAATTGGGACAAGGGTAAAGCACCTCACACCAGGCAGCCTTTAAGCGCAGGAGCTGGTGAATATTCTACTCCCTACCATATTCTACTCTATTGCATCTATCTCTTGGACAACAGAGTTTTAGGTTTACTTTCTAGAAGTTGTAGTTCCTTTGAATCTACCCATGTAACTGTATTGGCTGTAGAGTGAGTTACAGACATACTCTTTTTTGAATTAACATATGAGACTGGTTTTGATGACCCTACATATAAAAGCTGAGTATTTAGAAATGCTTTTCCTAAAACAGTCTTCAAAGGAGAGCTGAGTTTTACTTATAGCCTGCTTCAAAAGCAGGAGAGTAAAACAGATTAAATGGATAGACATTTTTAGTTTCAAACAGGAAAAATCAAAGAGTAGTCTAAAGACCCATGTTATAACTAAAGACAGATTTATTTCACTATCTCTAAAGACAGAACTACTCTCTATTAACCAAACCGTTAATTAGGGTCATGTTTGCACTTCAATTGCCAGCTCCAAACATTTATTTATCTAAACCCAGGTCACTTTAGTTTATTACAGTTATAGCCACTGGTGAGATAATGTGCTTAGATTTCACAAGTATGTGTGAATTGCCTACCTCAGCTTTTATTTTCATGGAATGGAGAGTTCTCTTGAAAGTACAGGTCAGACTAAAGATAATAAATGATTTTCCTTCTCAATAGAACTAAAAACAAGGTTTTAACTAATTCACCAAAACTCAAGGATTGAATATCTATATTACATTTCTTGACAATGTTAGTCGGTCCAAGGGTGACCCACAGGATTTCAATTGATCCAAGAACAATCTTTAGGCAGACATTTCATTGGCTTGGAGCTTGTTTCTCAATCATTGAATGCTGTCTTTCTTACTGGTTGACTCACCCCCACTTAGTTAGAAGACTAGGGGTAAAAACAGAAATGTGGGAGGGAGAAACTTCATGACAGGAAACATTTCCCTAAGAAAAAAGAAATAGAGAAAGGAGGCCTAGGGCTGTGTTATAGAAAAAGGAAGAGGAGCCAAGGTAGTTCTCCTCAAAGCAGAAGACTTGATGATTGTTCAGCAGACATACACAACCTCACTGAGCGCACACGCGCGCACACACACACACACACACAAGGCTTATGCATATACCCACATAGGAAGACACACATACCTTCTTCACATATGCCCTTGTCACCATGACTCTTGAGTTCCATATTAAAAAAGAGACTCAGGTAGAGTTACAGAAGTCACACACATAGGATCATCAATCTTACTAGGTGCTAACCTTCCAGCTGTCTTTTATCAAATGTAAGTACTCTGAACACTTAAATAAACCTACCACCTGTTATTCTGCACCTTTTATGCATATAGTATAAACAGACTCTTTATATACATCTAAATTACTACCAAAGCCACTCCCACAAACTCAAATTCTCACAATCACACATACACATACACACACGCATGCTCGCATGCTCACACAAAATCCTCTTCCGACGAAGCCTAAAAGAGTCTGTGTTAAATTCTTAGTGCTTTCATCTTTGATAAATAATACTTAAAACAACGACTCGATGCTAGGTGAAATGAAGAAGTATTTTTCCTGATAGTTTGTTAGCATGGTGGAAAAGTCCATCAAGGACATTTGAAATCCCTCATAGAGTTCACTCCCTTGGCCTATAGACAAGACACCAGTGGTAACCTTTAGAGACTGCCAAAAGCTTCTAAGATTCTCTTGGTCCTGCTATGCTAGCTGACCTTTGCAAGGAATCCTGGGTATTTTGAACTAGGAACATTTAGTATAAAACAAAACAAAACAAAAACAGAAATCTTTCCCTGACATTTAAGAACAATATCAAACTGCCTGAAAAAACTAGCCTGGCAGGCCTGGCCTATGGCAAGCCAGTGATGAAGGAAGAACTGATTTTAAATCTCTCTGGCCCTATATGTCACTTGGAGATTGCTCACTTCTCTCTCCTCATACATGCACTCAGGCCTTATTTTGTTCTCTGCCATGCATAGTCTGATCTGGCCAAAGAAGCCTAGAACTAGGAAAAATGTGTTTGGATTCAAATAGAAGAAAATCACAAGCTAGTCTAGAGGGATCAGTGAGTTTATGCAACCCAGATAATGTAGTACAACATCTAAGTGGTGGGCACTGTGATCCATAAAGTGTAGTCAGCATAGGAAATCAAGACTCCAATGAGTCTCCCCTCCCCAAGTTCCATCAGTCTGTCTGTTAAAAAGTTCAACTGTGCTTCTGCTGAAAAGCAACCAGGTCTGTTATTGACACTGTTTCATTCTGAATAGCAGAGAAAACTAAAAGCCTTCCTTACTTAGTTCATTAGTTAGCTAACAAGCAGTTTTCAAGCACCTACTGTGCATGGATCACTGTCCCAGACACTCGGCTGTTGCTGTTGCTGCTCCTGCTATTGAATTTCTGAATACAGACTGTTGCCAGACATCCAATTTTCTGAGTGCTTGCTCTGACAGGGAACAATGACTAATGAACCAAACATCAGGGAGGGCCCTCTGATCTCCAGCACAGAACATGTCCATAAAGGCAGAGCCTAATTTGTTCAGCAAGCAGCTGCCAATTCTTCTGGGATCTTAATTACCTGGAGCAGTTTATATGGGTGAATCCCCTTGGGAGAGAAACCCTGAACCCTGTCTTTCTCACAACCTGCCATACCCCAGGCCCTATAAATGGCTTTAACCCCAGTTAGTGCATATGTGTACAAGGTCCAGGCTACAGCAATTCACCAGACAAGTATTCCCAACACAGTTCACAGTCTTTCTTCATACACCTATACACACACACACACACACACACACACACACACACACACACTTCAACATATTTTGCTCACCTTCTTTGTGTGACTTTGAGTAAATTTGTTTGTCTCTGGGATTCTGTTTCCTCTCTTGGAAAAATGAGTGGATGGACCTTTCCAGCACTTGACTATGGCTCCAGGAGTTTCAAGAAAGTCATGTGACAAAAATCAGCTTTTTTGGAGCAGAATTGAGACAAGGTGAGACAATGGCTCACTAGCCCTGGGAGCCACCATCATGAAGAAGGGAGGTCTCTGCCTCTTGACGTGGGCCAATCCCAAAGTTCTACACTGCTTCTGATTCCCAAGCAGGGATGGTGGATCTGGAGTACTGTTGATTTTTCATCCCTTCTGCCTCATCTCTCTTCTTTGCCATTCCTTTCATAACCCTTTTTCCAACTCTTGTTCCCTTTATCTAGCCCTTCATCTCATCCTGACTAGTTCTTCAGCAAGCTCTTCAGTAAGGTCAATCGATTAAATATCTCAAGCCTCCCAGTATGTAAAATATAAATAATAGCTCCTGCCCTGGCAGCACTCACAGGCCTTCTAGAGGAGCAAATAAGATAAAGCCTGTGAAAGTACTTTGGAAATTGTCAAGTACTATTGCAAATATGAGAGATTATTATTAATCATGGGTGGGAAGGCAGTTACATGAAGTGGGAAGCACTTTAACTGGGTGAAGGAACTGGCATTTCTAGCACGCCTGAGCCACTGATCACATCTTAGGGACCATTATTTGATTAGTACTACATCCCTTTCACCGTCTGCTAGCAGAGTTCAGACTCAGAGGGAAGGCAAGGCATAGGTTAAGTTTGACATGAAGAAAGGCCTAGAGCAGTAATTTAAAAAAGTAAGCCTCTTTTTTCGAACATAGACTCATATGCAAAGCCCTATTTATAAAATAGACAAAAGCAGGACTACTTGGATTGGAGCTAGGGGGAGGGGTAAGTGGCCTCAATGGTTAGACCAACTTGGCCCTGAGATCCCTCCAGTGGATCCCTATGCCTCAGGTTCCAAGAGTATTCCTGCCAATTGACAGTGTAGAGCAGGAATCATTGATTAACACATGGTTCTTCCAGGCCTTCAGGCTGAGTATTGTAGGAGTTGGAGGACAGGACACGGGGAAGATGAGTGAGAGAATCCTACAGAAAGGTAGAGCTGAGTTTAGTCAGCAGCTTTTTCTACATCCCAATCATAAATTTTCAATCATTCTAGAGAACAGAACTACTGCTTTGGAAATCCATGTAAAAAGTCTATTAACAATGTAGACCTCCAAATGATTTTTTTTTAAAAAAAGCGAGAGCCCAGGTGAATAAGAGTTGCACATCTGTTTTCTAGGATAAATTTATTGAAGAAGCAGCTTCCAACTTGTGGAACCACAAATGAACAAGCCTGCCTTGGTGAGAACGAAAAGACCAAGAGAATATCTTTAGGTGGGCTCAGTGGTCAGGCAGGCAGATATGTGCAACCAGCCCTAGGAACTGAGCCAAAGAGGAGTGGTAGAAGCACCAAAGTAATATATTGGACAAAACTGCAAACCCAGTGTTATAGGCAAGGAAATTGGGTCAAAACAGGATGGGGGCCCAGAAACAGGAGACACAGAACAAATTTAGAGACCTGGAAAGTGGGGGTGGGGAAACCGAGAACAGCTTCCTCCTAGAATGCTTGCTCCATTTTCCCACCCTCCCCACCCAAACAGGCTCAGCAACAGGGCATATCTGACTGACTAGGCAGAAACTGATCAGATACTGCAGGAACAAGTTAGAGGCTCTAAGAAGGATAGGGGTATGTGTGTGTGCCCAAGATGTTCACACAGTTAGAAGACGGGTAGTGGCTGATTCCCCAAGGCAGATGGAAGAGTGTCAGAGATTTTGGTGAAATCACTAAACCTAGGGAAGGATATAATAATCATTTAAAAATCACCTTAGAGTAAATTATGCTGGCATTCTAGAAACATCCGGTGCTGGCATTTCTACATTATTAAAGCTGTTTGCAAAGGCCCAACATCTTTCTCTAGGAGATTCTTATTCCACATGTGTCTTTCCCTGATTCTTTTTCCACATGTGGTGGCCTAGAGCTGCTTCTCAAATTACCCTGAGGTAGCTGCTACAGAGACACATTTGCTGTGCCAGGGTTGAGCAGGAAATGGGTAACCCAGAGCAAAGGATCAGCAGCAAAAACCATTTGAGCTTGAAGGAAACAAGAACATTTGGAATTCCGGTGTGCTTGGGCGGAGGGGAAGAGGTCATTATGTTGACCCAGACAGTCTTTGTCCCTGCTCTTCTAGAAGAACCAGTGGGACTATCTCGGAAAATGAGTTGGATGAGAGACTCACTTGGCTAGGGGTTACTTCCCCTGCGTAAGCTCTGTGAACACAGACATTGAGAAGGAGGTGGAGAGAGAGAGAGGCTCTCCTGAGGGGCCTAAAAGGGAACAGAACTCAAAGAGGAAAGAAGAGCAAATGAGCCAAAAATAGCTATTTAGCAGACCCTTCTGAAGGACTATAACCCTTATTATAAGTAAGTGGTAAGAGCTCCTCCCTCAAACAAAGATGGGTTTGTCATTTTAAGTAACTGCCTCACACTTGAATTCTCAGATATTTATACATTGTTTAAAAAACTTCTGTGGCTAATTTTGTTTTTTTCTTTAAGATTTATTTATTATGTACAATGTTCAGCCTCCATGCCTGCAGGCCAGAAGAGGGCACCAGATCTCCTTACTGATGGTTGTGAGCCACCACGTGGCCGCCAGGAATTGAACTCAGGACCTCCAGAAGAGCAATCAGTGCTCTTAACCTCTGAGCCATCTCTCCAGCCCTGAATTCTCAGATATTTAAAAAGTCAACTAAGACATGTACGCTGGGAAGAAGAGTTGCAGTTTCTTGTCTGCATCTCTTATAAGTGCCTGCCTGACTGGTGGGAAGATGGACTAGAGACTGAAGCAGAATTTTGCAGGCTTAAGTGAGGAGTTTATCTAGTCAAGATTTTCCAGCTTCTGCTATAGCAAACCACTATGGCTATGTAAGACCATGGCCAGGGATGACCTCACACACAAACGGGGAGGGTGACTTCCTGCATAGTTTGAGAGGATATAGATTGGACAATGTCCCCAAAAGCTCAGTTTACCTGCCCCCCACTGAGCCTGCATTGCTTACTTGGCTTATTCCCTTTGAAGAGCTAGGCTTAATAGAACTGGGACCTGCATAGGACAGCATGTTTGCTCTTTACAGTTTACTTGGCATCAATATATCACATGAATTTTGGCAGACAGCAAGAGGTTGAAAGCCACGGATGGTTAAGAGGGCAGGAGATTAGAGAAGTTCTATAACATAAGACATAATCCTATTGTTGACAACTCTGAGCAGCTGCTGAATGTGTGATGAATAATTTGCTAAAAGGAAAAATGGGGGGGGGTGATCCCACATCATTTGCTGATTTTTGAGAGTGAAAATGTTTTCTGCCAGGCAGTGGTGGCTCACACTTTTAACTCCTGCACTCAGGAGGCAGAGGCAGGCAGATCTCTTTAAGTTCTAGGCCAGTCTGGTCTACAAGAGAGTGAAAATGTTTTCTATATAGCATCAAAGAGGCGAAATCTCCTTTAACGCTGAGGAATTTTCCCTCATATCATGTTCCTTCATCTCTTCCCACATAGTATAGGGAACATGTGCTGCAGAGAAGGAAGTAGGTCCGGAGTCTGAGTGGTACCTATTTTCCTTACTGAGATTCAAGGCTTGTCAAGGCTCACCTTATGCCTTTTGAGAGCAGGAAATGCCAACAGTCATTAGGAAAGAAAGAATAAGGAAGAGTTAAACAAATAGCTGCACCTAGAGGTCTGGGATTTCTCTAGTCTGTTTTAGCAAGTGCTGGGCTGAGCTGTGGGCAGAGTGGATGTTTCCCAAGATAGCTGAATACAACTTTTCAGCTGGGACTCCTTTGCATTGGGGATGTTACAAGCCATCAGGGAGGATAAGAGCACTAAAGATGAGTTCTGCTGCCCAGCTTAGATTCCCATGGACACCACTAATGCCTAATGAGTTTGCCAAGGGAGCCAGTCTGGCAGGCTCACAGCAGGGGAAGATATGTAAAGCAAAGACTTAGTCCCAGGCTCAGCAGAGAGCCCAAAGCAATGATATGCATGGCTGGTGAAAATGCAGAAACCAATTCACAAAGACAGCAAGAATTAAGACTAGATAGAGTCCAACTGAGCGACTGGCTTGTTTCTGTAGGCTGTGGGGATTGTCAGGACCCCATTAGTTGCCATTAGTGCCAGCCATGGTGACATGGCACCAGCTGCAAGCCTGCTGTGACTGACCCAAGCATCTTATGTCTGTCCTCACATCCTCTAATTGCCTCACAAAAAGCAGTCCAAGACTTTACTATCCTTTCTTCACCCACTGCCTGGCCACTGGCAGGGTTCACTCAGCCAGTTCAGTTGCTTTCTTCAGTGTGTGCTGAGGAAGAGGGGAAGAAAGCAGGAAGTAAAGGAGAAAGGACTACAGGAAGGAAGAGAGAAAAGAGAGAAAGAGTCAATAATGCTGGCTATCTGAAATACCACTAATTCCCAATGAATGCACCACTGACTGCTAAAGGTAGCAGTGCTTCCCTCGCCAATTCTTGCACTTCTGGGAGTCATTTCTCAGCTCACACTTCCCTCCTATGACAGATACATAAATCCCTGGCCAAAGAGGCTGCCATGCCCCTTCCTGTCTCTGAAGTGACTTTCCTCAGATGGATTACACTACCTTTTGAAAACTCACACAGGTCAAATGAACAGGTCAGGCACTGAGATATAACCACTGGGCTATGGAGAGGATGGTGAAGGGGGCTATCAATTTCCTGAGAACCGCTTGGTCCTATCTCCCCAAGGCAAATTAAGTCCCAATGGGTAGCTCCCTTAGATCTTTCTGGAAAAATCTATGGGGCAAACGGTCATATAACACATTGCAAAGACAAACATATTATTTCTGTGTGCCAGAAAATCAACTCTCAAGTGTTTCTGGGTGGTCTATCTACTTTGTGGCAAATAGTGGTCTCAGCTTAGTTTTTCCTTACATCCAGGTTCTTCTGGTTTTTATGCACTCCAAGGATGCAAACTCATTTTCACATCAGTTCAAATAAGTAGAATGGCACAGCTACTAAAATATATGTGACTTATAGCGCACCTTTAAAGTTTGCTATACATGCTTTTCTTCCATATTAATCCTTTGCTACACATCCTACCTTAGTGATCCTGCCATGGGAAATTCAACCATGCTTCAGTATGGGATCCAAATGTGAGTAGGTAATATGTTTTTCCAAAATTCTCCTTAATTTATACTCTGTATGGACTGGTGTCAAAGCACTCCTAAGTTCCCAGAAACTAGCTAGACAGTATGCAAGTGGGCCTCCTGAGATTTTGGAATTGCTATGAATAATTCACAAAATGAAAAAATAGGGATATTACAGATGTGGCTCTACCCATATACAAAATGGGACCCTACCAGTGAGTAGCTAAAGGCAGAGGTTACAATAAATTGCTATTACATAATTTAGCATTATTAAAGGAAATAACATGATTGTGGATGATCTGAACGTGAAAGCAATATATAGACTTTTTGAGGTCATTTTCCTTCTCTCTTCTGTGACTATTAAGCAACCAATAAAATCCGACACAACCCCAGTTTCCAGAAGGACAGCTAGCTAAAGTGCTTAGGGAAGGTACTTCCACAGTCCAGTTACTTTTGATTCTTTCCAAATCTGCATTCTATAAATGTAAGTCATTGATCAAAGTTGGATTGGGGTGACTAGCTAAAAGTAAAGTTATTCATGCTATAACCTTAAGCCCTTTTAAAAGATAGAATGAAATCTCTATTGAATAATTTGGAAACTATATGAAAAGTGGAGAAAAACGAGCTCGTTCAAATCTCTCTCTCTCTCTCTCTCTCTCTCTCTCTCTCTCTCTCTCTTAGGATTTTCAAGACAGGGTGTATCTATACAACAACCCTGGCTGTCCTGGAATCCATTTTGTAGACTAGGCAGGCCTTGAACTCCATACCTGTCTTTGCCTCCAGAGTACCAAGATTAAAGGCATGTGCCACCATCACCCAGATAAATTTTTTATTAAAAATAGATTTCATACTATAAATCTGGCCAAGAACTCATGTTTGGGAGCTCATTGTCTCCAGGGGAGAACCCATTACTATTATACGGCTAAGTGGACATATCAAAGTGCCATCTAAATTAATCTTTCTCTACCTGTAGATTAGTGCAGCTCTCAGACTTCATCAATGTTTCTTTTTTTTTATATTTATTTATTTATTATGTATACAATATTCTGTCTGTGTGTATGCCTGACAGCCAGAAGAGGGTGCCAGACCTCTTTACAGATGGTTGTGAGCCACCATGTGGTTGCTGGGAATTGAACTCAGGACCTTTGGAAGAGCAGGCAATGCTCTTAACCGCTGAGCCATCTCTCCAGCCCCCATCAATGTTTCTTTGTGCAATGGATGGTGGCAAACACAGAAACTCATAACTGGTCAAAGTGCAGAAAATAAGATTCAGTGGAGTGCTCAGCCACAAATGGGACATGCATATAACACTCCCTCTCTAAGGTTTAGGGATCATAGTTGGAAGAGGGGGGCAAGAGCCAGAGGTCAGAGATGACTAGACTCAAACTGTGTCATCTGAATATGACAGGACTACTGCATTGAAGAATTCTCAGCTGTGGTGATATTTTATTTGTGCTTTAAGAAAGAAAGCTTGCCTGAAGATCAGAGTGTAGAGAAAGCCAGTAGTTAGCTATAGAGGCCAGGCAGTGATGGCACACACCTTTAATCCCAGCACTCAGGAGGCAGAGGCAGACTCTGAGTTTAAGGCCAGCCTGGGCTACACTAGATTGATCTAGTCTCAAAGAAAAACAGTGCCAGGCAGTGGTGGCTCACACCTTTAATTCCAGCACTAGGGATCCTAAAACCTCTAATCCCAACACTAGGGAGGTAGAGACAGGAAGATATATATATATATATATAGTTGGATGGAGAAAGGAATATAAGGTGGGAGGAGACAAGAGCTCAAAAAGCATTCAGTCTGAGGACTTATAGAGACAGGATACCCCATTCGGTCTGAGGATTTTGCAGAGGTAAGAACTAGTGGTGGGCTGCTCTGCTTCTCTGATCCTCAGGGAAGCTTTATTTGTTATAGCACAAACAAAATATCACCACACACAGCAGCTGTGGTTGCCTGCACAAGATCAAGTCAGTCAACATTTTAGCATAGAGTGGGAGGGGTTCATTACTTCCTACTCCTAATTGAGTATCCATCAACAGCTGATGTTTTCTGGGATTAGAAGGGTTAGTCTTTTTTAAGTTAAGTCCTGGTAGGTGGACCACACTCCATTAGGTGACCCCAACCCGGGAGTATATATGGGTAGCAACACAAACTAGAGTGGATAAGTTTGGGTTATTATTATTATTATTAATTATTATTTTATTACTTAAAAAATACCAATCCAAATTCCCACTTCCTCCCTTCCTCCTACTTCCCTCCTACTCCCTCCACGCACCCTTTCCCCATCCCCTTCCAATCATAAGAGAGGGCAAGGCACCATGCCCTGTGAGAAGTCAAAGGCTCTCCCTACTACACTCAGGTTGAGCAAGGTATACATTCAAAGAGAAGAGGATCCCAAAAAGCTAGTACATGCAGTAGAGACAAATCCCAGTGCCATTGTCATTGGCTCCCCAGTCTGCCCAAACTGTCAACCACATTCAGAAGGACTAGTTTGATCCCATGCTTGTTCACTCCCAGTCCAGTTGGAGTTGGTGAGCTCCCATTAGCTCAGGCACATTTGTCTCAGTGGGTGAACACTCATGGTCTTGACTTCCTTGCTCATATTCTCCCTCCTTCCACTCTTCAACTGGATCTTGGGAGCGCAGTCCAGTGCTCTGATGTGGGTCTCTGTCTCTGTTTCCATCTGTTGTTAGATGAAGGTTCTATGGTGATATTTAAGATAATCATCAGCCGGGCAGTGGTGGCGCATGCCTTTAATCCCAGCACTTGGGAGGCAGAGGTAGGTGGATCTCTGTGAGTTCGAGGCCAGCCTGGTCTACAAGAGCTAGTTCCAGGACAGGAACCAAAAAAAGCTACGGCGAAACCCTGTATCGAAAATCAAAAAAAAGATAATCATCAGTCTGACTAGAGATGCCCATCAATGGAAGAATGGATAAAGAAAGTGTGGCACATCTACACATCAGCGGTAAAAAAAAAAACAATGATATCTTAGGAATTTTGCATGCAAATGGATGGAATTATAAAACACTATCCTGAGTGAGATAACCCAGACTCAAAAAGATGAATATAGTATGTACTCACTCATTAGTGGATACTAGCCATAAACAAAGGACATTGAGCCTATAGTTCATGATCCTAGAGAAGCTAAGTAGTAAGGTGAACCCAAAGGAATATATATATATCCACCTGGAAATTGGAAGCAGACAAGATTGCCTGACAAAATTTGGGATCATGGGGGCGGGGGTAATAATTTCAGAGCAGGGCTAGTTAACCACTAGAATGTATGACCAAAGAAAATTCTTTGAGTTGAAGATCAGTCAACTATACTTGAGCTAGTTCAAGAGATCAGACACATGGGAAAGACATACAATTCTCCTGAATACAACCTAGCCATAAGGAAATATATACCAAGCTCACAACTTTCATTGCTTCTGCTCAGGGCTCACCCTCATAATTTGCCAGGCAGGACTCTGGGAGAAAGTAGGATTAAACATCAGGTTCTGTAAGCATCATGCTATCTGTCTCAGGTTAATGGAAGGAGGAAGAGAACTAAACTTATGTACACAGTCCATTATAGCATCCCAGCAGAAGTGAGAAGTCTCTTGTTCAGTTTGATTTTATACACATTTCTCACAAAATCTTTTTCTAATCTGTCTAAAGATCAGTACAAATCCATGCAAAATTATCTCAGTGACAGTTCCTGTCCTCCTCTCGTTTTGAACATTCAAAGAAAGACTAATCTCTCGCCTTGTTTTCTGGGAGATACCTACCTTAGATTTGAATGAAGCAATGGACAGTGCTGAGAGAAAACCAGTGGAGGCAGATGGGGGCAGCCCCACAAATTCTCTAACACTTTAGTCGATGTTTACCAAAGTGTGGTCAAGACAGTGCTCACTAGGAGTGAAAGACCTACTGCTAATCAGGAGTGCTGAGTGTCATGGGGCAGAGAAGGACACCAAAGATATAAAAATAGCAGGTTGATCTTGTGTTTGGAATAAGGTTTTCAGAGGATGATTTCCAGCCAGGTTCACATGAAAAAGAAAACCTCAGGCCTTACTGTATGAATCCTGTTTTCCCCTGGATTTTCTTGCCATGTGTCTGTTAAAGACATAGTGTGGTAGTTCCATGTCCTTGACTTAATTGTCTACTGTCAAGAAATTTTCTCAAAATTAACTTTAAGCAGATTAGCCTTTTAAAAATGTCTCACTCTTAGAAATAGTTCTGAAATCAGAGTGTATGTGCTAGCCGATTTACCCCTAATACATGTTAAATCAATAAATAGCTATAAAAATAGAAAAAAAAACAAAGATAGTCCTTATACCACCTAAAATCATCTTGCACACCACCAGTGTATGTTTGCCACACTTGGAGAAACAGTGCTTTCTGTATCATACACACAAATGGTTCCCATAGCCAACAAGCACTGCTTTATTTCTTTCTCCAAATGTAAAGCTGGTGGGGCTTTTGACTGCCCCAAATGGCCAGGATACCATCCTGAGCCTGGCTCCCTCCCTCCTTCCTCTCAGAGCCAGTTATTATTTTTCTCCTTTCAGGTGACAGCCTCGGCCAAAGCTGGAGTTTGCTACAGAACACAGGGCCCTTATTCCTGGTCAAGTGTTCCTTCCCTCGAGCTATTTCCCCTGCACAGAATGCCACACTAGACTTCACTTAACTAAACCAGTACACTCTGTGGAGTGGACTTCCTCCACGTTGGCCCCAGGGGCTGTGTGGGCTGGAGTGCCTCAAGCCCACATCAGTGGCTAGCCTGCCCACCCATGAGCCATATCTTGTGCTTATAGAAGTCCCATGAAGCACAAGATGCCCCTAGTTGAATACTGCAGCCAAAAACACCTCTGGCCACTAGCCTGCTACCCGGGTGGTAAAGAAACAAAGGAGGCCCGCAGCAGGAATGCTACTGGAAGGTCAAACTGTTCTGTTTCTGCTGATTTGATTTGTATTAAACAGATAGGCAGTCTAACAAGCAGGTTTGATCAACAAGAGAAATGGCTTGTGCTTGTGCTAGTTGCCTAAGTCCAGGCAGTGTCTCCACCTCTTATGGATAATTTATTTGTAAGAAATTCTTGTTTGGTTGGAGAGTTAAGGTCCTTCAGTGGTTTACAAACCTCTTTGTGGTTGCTAAACAATAATCACTCTCCATCCCTTGCCTACTCCCTACTCTAAGCTAAAATCTTTCAAGGTCTCTAGATGCGAGGTCCTTAGAGAAGAAGAACTGCTCTATGGGAGGCTGGGAGCTCTGGCCACCTGGTTCCCTACCTCCCAGAGCTGCCTAAATGTACCACCCTTGTGGTTTCTCCAACCATGGAAGGAGTGTGAAATTCTTTTGGCAAAGAAAAACAGTCAAATTGATGACCAAAGTCCTACAAGCATTAAAGACACATGTAGATTCTTATTTGTGACTTTATAAGTATAATCTTTCCTTAAGGAAAGTGATAATATAATTTACCTCCTCTATTTGGTTCCAATTTTCTTTACCCCCTTTCTCTCCCTTACAGTCATTTCTCCTCTCCTCAGTAAAATCTCTTCCCTTGGCCGGGCAATGGTGGCGCATGCCTTTAATCCCAGCACTCGGGAGGCAGAGGCAGGCGGATCTCTGTGAGTTTGAGACCAGCCTGGTCTACAGAGCTAGTTCCAGGACAGGCTCCAAAGCCACAGAGAAACCATGTCTCGAAAAACAAACAAACAAAAAAAAATCTCTTCCCTTTCTTTTCCACTCCTTCTTACAGTCCCTAAATTGTCAGAAAGGATTTTACATTTTTCAATTATTTTTTTAAAAAAACTTTGTTCTGTGAAAATAAGATCTTTTCAATCTTAGAAATCTATTAAGATTAATCCAAGTTGCCAGAAATCAGCCAAGAAATAATTGAAGAAATGAACTCAGTTGAGACAGACAGAATTATGGGCAAGTGTAAATAAAGGTGAGGGTGAGGGCAAAGAATGCGTGATTAATGGTTCTAGGGATGTGGGCAAGTATCTGTGCAAGTTGAGGGAGGCTCCCTTTCTACTCATTGTCTCCACTGCAGTTTCCCCGGCAGTACAGATGCTGATAGGCATAGGACAGCAGATGACAATGTAAATAATTTGCCACATGAGAAACTTCAAGGTATCATGCCTGTCATGATGAGGAGCTCTTTGGTTGCTAGATAAATGTCTCCTCCTATGGTCTGTAGACACTTACCATATAACCCATGAAAGGATGGTCAGTATTGAATGAATCTGAACATAGTACCATGTCCCAAACACACACATAAAGTAGATAAGGGTTTGGCAGTTCATCTACATATTATGAATGGGGATCTATCTATCTATCTATCTATCTATCTATCTATCTATGTATCTATATCTTCAGATTTGCTAAAGGGTCTGCTTTAAGTCATGCAGCAGTAAGTCTTGTGGGAGTTTATGGTTTGCTAGGAATTCTGGATGTGAACAGATAACTGATATTACCTCCCTTCTGTTCAATTGAGAATTCCTCCAAAGCTACATATGAAAAACATAATAAACACAATTTGGGTTCAATATCTGCATTGTAGGATGGATGATGCCATGGGGAGACATTTGGTTGAGGGATGTATTAGCAACTACACATCAACAAGACCCCAAATGCCCTTTTCCCCATTACTTATACGCTTGCTCCCAAGCCTAATCTCTTTGTTGTTGTTGTTGTTGTTGTTTTTAAATCAAAGCTGACATTATGGTAAGCCTTATTTTGGGGGTCATAACTCCCACATTCACCACCTTTTTATTCATCTTACTCATGTGAATCTCTTGTGCCCCTTACACATCATTCTGACATTAAGGTATGCAACAACTGATTCAACTTTTTCTGCAATCCAACCTACACATAGACAAATTTACAGACACATTCTTCCCAAATATCTGGACTGGAAGAGACCCTAGAGACCATCTTATCTCTCCCTCCCCCATTGTATAATGAGGGAAAGCAGCCCATAGAAGGGCAGGGAGTTACTTACTCAAGCTCAAGCATCAGATTGGTGGCAAAGTCTGGACTCGAACCCAGATCTTCTGGATCCAAATCTGACCCACTCTCTACCACATCGAGCTGTAACTCATCCAGGAACTGTGCCTCCTCCCCAGGCTCTGGGTTCTCCCCGAGCTGGGGCTCTTCCATGAGCTGGGGTTCCTCCAGCCTTTCCACCTTCATTTCCCAGTTGCACAGGGAAACTTTGGTTGCCTGGTTAGAGTTGTTTTTTCTCTGTGTCTCCTCTTGTTCTTTCTCCCCTCTCTCTCTTTCCCTGTAGTTTCCTGGCTAGGGTGGGAGCAATTGGAAACTCTTTCACAGACTCCAAAGTAAAAGTGCCCAAGGAGCCTCAGGGCCAGCCTAGGCTGGCTCTGCAGCGGAGGCCAGCAGAAAGATGCTCCCTGCCCTGAGTCCTGAATGCCTCTGGGGGCTCTTGGGCTCTGAGGGAAGACTGGAGCTCCTGAGGCAAGTGCTGCCCTCAGGATCTTCTGCGGAGGCTGGGCCAGCTTCCTAAACTAACTCCCAGACTAAAGGGGAGGGCCGGATCCTCCCGGGAAACCCAGACAGAGGCTCTGCCAGCCAGCCCCTGTGGTTGGAACTTTCAAAAAGACCAATGTTTCAGCAACTGATTTCTTTTCCAACCCGAACAGCAAGCCTTTCTGTCTCCTTTGCATGACTGTGGC